GCAGTAATAATGCTATTTTAATTCAATTAGTTATCAATAAAAGTGATTAATTCAACTGAAATTTCACTCTTATCGTGTGAATGTATGTTTATCCATTGTTATATATGGATACATACATTGTACAGTACATACAATTAACATTAATAGTAAAATAAATCATTCTAATGACAGTTTAGTTAATACCAGATTTTAAAGATTTACACTCTGAAATTAAAATAGTAGTAGTAATAATATACATGCATTTTTCTTAAAATTTTCAAAAGATTTATTATAGATAGCCATTAATGCATTAATATTAGATATCATTTAATATTCAAAATTAAAAATAGCCAAAAGGCATGTAAAGTTATTAACCTATTTAATAAAAAGCAAATGCAGCTATCATTGTATTTCAAAAATTTAAAACTTTTCTTGTCTTCTTAAAAATTGTTGGGAACAAGTTTTTAAATTTCTTTCTCGACATAAAATATGACAATGGGTTAAAGTTAAAAGTTGTTGTCCAGGTAATAAAGAAAAAAAAAGTCAACTATAACTAACAACGAAATGTATTTAAATTATGCAATATTTAATAATAATAATATTTACTCTATTATTGTTTTTTTTTGTCACTTTTTAAAAGAATAAAGTTTAAAATTTATTATATTTATAATTTGAAATCTTATTATTTGTAATAACCAATTTCAACTGAAGCTAATTTTAATGTAGCTTAATGGTTTAAATATTTTTAGAGTATCACTTAATCTTCTGAATAGAACTAATTAAATGGATATTATAACATATGCAATTCATTTAAGATAACAATAAAGAAAAAAAACATGCGCTAACACCAAAGTTATTTAAGTTGTTTTAATTTCATTTTAATTTGTTCTAAATCTTTTTAAATAAAAATATGCTTATAAAATATTTAAATTTTATAAATTTGTAATTATGATCTTACATTAAATATTAATCTATTTTGACATTTCCGTTTTCACTAAAAATTTTTAAATTACGAAAGCTGAAAAATAAAGCTTGGATAAATTCCCAATATACCAGAAAAATTATTTTCTAATTATATACGATTATCACACCGAAGGAAGACAATAATTCTCTTCACATCAAATTATTATAAATATGTAAATATAACCTGAATAAAATTTAACAATAAATAATTGTCAGTTTCCGTAATAAAAACAAATTTCAGATTATATTTAGAGAAGAAAGGAAAAGTAATTTCCTTATATAAAATTTCAAATAGAGATATTTTTGTATAAACAATTTACACATTGAAATAAATGTATTTAAGGTTATAGAATGTAATAACCTTAGAATATAGGGTAATAGAATAATATAAAGACAGTACATGTAACTAACTTTTTGAAATATTTAAAAATATTTATGGATTTATAAAGAAACTGAAATTATTTACCTGTTTAGTGTACATAACTATTTTATTAACCTATTAAAAAGAAAGTTTTTTAAAGTTTTAAATATAAAATTTTAGACTAGTTAAATATATATAAAATAAATCATTAGTATAAAGTTCTTGTTCTATAATTACAATTCTTAAAATCACTTTATAACAATTCATATTAAATGTATATTAAAATGAACAACATACATTTCAATATACAAGTCAACCCCCCTATAACACTGTCGATTATTCCATTTTATATGAATTCCATGTTGTATGAGTCACTTAGATTTTAGAAATACATGTATCGGACTGTGAATGGCTCAAGTATTTGTAAAATCTAAGTGACTCGTACAACATGGAATTCATATAAAACGGAATTATCAACAGTGTTATAGGGGAGGGGTCGCCTGTACTGTGGTTAAAATTTTTTATTATAAAAATGAACAGAATCAGAACATAATCATTAAAAATTTTTCAGAAGGGGAAAAAGAAATTCTTTATACTAAGAATTCAAATAAAAACAGCATGGAACAATTTAAGATATATTTTTTTTATTATTACAGACTGTCAATAACATTAACTTAGCAGTCATCATTAAGCAAAACTTACATTTCATTAAAAATTAATAGATATAATGAATATAAAATTTACTCCATTATAAAAAAATCTTTATATTTAAAAAAAATATATATTAAAATCAATATCAACTGCAATAATAGTAAATTAAGTGTATTCTTTGAAATAATAGCTAAGGTAATATCATCTGTTTAACTATAAATGCATTAAATAAATATATCCTAAATTGCTAATAATTTAAATTGTTTTGATTGTTTGGAAGACAAATGTCTACTATAACACAGAAATTAAAATTCAATATTAAAGTGATTTAAAAATTCATTATATATGTATATGTTTCCATTTAACCGAAGCTTTAGATATTATTAAACTTTAATTTTATTATATGTTAACTCCTTTTAAGATTTTTAATTTAAACTATAAAAATTTCAAATCTTTTGCAATTTTTACTTAGTATTTTCTAAATTAAACTACAGAACANAAAAAAAAAACAATTAAAAGAAAAACAAACACTGCAGATTTTCAAGAATGATAGATAAGATTTTATATGAGAAAAAGTGATGTTAAAGACATTGTGTTTTTTATATTGAAAATCAGCAATTTGCAGATCTTCTGTAAAGTTAAATTATGAATTCATTCATGAAAGACTAAATAGAAATTGAGCAAGAATAAAAGGAGCACATTTCTTGGAAACTGATAAAAACAAAATATAATATAATTTTAAATTACAGTAGGCCTTTAATTTAACAGAATAAATAGGGGAAGGGATGCCTGCTGTTGCTGAAAGTCTTAAATTTAGTTTAAAAACTTATTAATAAGACTTATAATTTACCAGTTACATCTTAAAACATTTTTATACATGAATAAAATATAATTTACATTGGAGTAATTTATACTCGTTGATTCAAGCATGTTATATTCAAATATCGAAAAAAAGAAGTTCTTAAATTTTATTTAGAATAAAAATTCCTCGACGATTAAACCGAGTTCGTTAAAATCAAGGGCCTAATGTATTTTAAATTAACACTTATTGAAAAGCATTTCCAAATTAAAGAAATGTAACAGTATTATTAACATTCTATAGTAATTTCAAAATGTTATTTAAGAAGAAGTCAATGCTAGTGAAATTTCTTAACTTCATTTTTTGAATATTATTTATAATGCAATAAATTAATAGGAAATGCTTTATTAAATTACGGATTAGTTTAATTTACGAAATTCATTAAACGAATATAAAAACACGTACCTAAACACAACACAACACACTAAATTAGGATTAGTTTAGATAAAACTACTCAAATATTTAATTTCTACATGTACACTGCAAGCAATATATTAATATATTAAAATAGATCAGATTAGAAAAATATGTTGTTATTTTTATGTAATCTGAATAATGATGGTTTAGTAAATTTGCATTGCAAACAAGGCTACTACAGGCAGTTACATTAATGCCTATTATTATTATTATTATCATCTAAAATAATTTTCTGCAAGAATGACCGACTTATGTTACGAACAAATATTTTTTTGTATCTATTGATATTTATTTAAGAACCGAGGGGGAAACTGTCTATTTGAAATAATTTGTTACATAGAAAGTAAATGCATCTAAATTTAATAAAATATTTTAAAACTTGCAGTACCAAGAAACACATTTTAAAATAAAACATTTGACATTTTACATAATGAACAGCTGTAACAACTTGTTCAAATTAAAACAAAAACAATTCTCCACATTTAAAAGCAGAAATCAGTAGAAATAAAAATGAGTTATTTAAAAAAAAAACTAAATTATTAATATTACGTAAACCGAACACGATAAATTTTTAATTATAAAAAGAACCGACGTACGAACCCAGATACGAGTTTAAGATAAGTTTGCAAAAAAGAAAATCAGCTTCTTGGATAAGAATCTAAATAAATTTTCTAATAAGTAAACTCAAAACTCATTAGGAAAACTAATATACAGTACAATAAACATTCATTTTCACTTGAGACATGACTGCACTAGGCTCATTAGTTTGCCATATGTAACAAGAGATAATAAGTTTGAACTTTTTTAAATATTTATAATAAATAAAAAAAGGTTTTATTAAATAATGCATAACATTTTTCTTTTTTTAGTTCTGTATACTAAATTATAACCTTAATAAAATTAGCTTGTGTAGACCTATCATTGAAGTATATATATATTTTTTTGAAATGCTAAATGTTTTTAATTTCAAAAAAAGGAAAAAAAAATCAATAAAAGTCACTGTACTAAAATTAAATATTGCATTTGTAAAGTTTTTGTTTTACATTTGAATAATAATAATAATAAAAATCACTGATCTAATTCAAGCAAGCTGGTAATTAATAAAGAATTATTTAAATTTTTAAATAAATATACAATAGTTATTGATGCATAAATTGAAAAAATCATTTACACTTAAACAAAACTTAAGGGGGGAAAAAAAATGGATGATATATTCGAAAGGATTATACACGTACAAGTACTTACTTCCAAAAATAAATGCTTCAGACATGATTTTAACGCATAGGAAAATTATTTTAGCTTAGAAATCGATTTTGAAAAAAGATTTATTAAAGTAAATTACACGTTTTAACATGGCATTGTATTTTCCTATCGAAAGATTCGAACAAATCAACTAGCACCGAACAATATAATTCAGTGTTCCCCTTGTGACGTCACCGGTTCTTGTGTATTTAATTTTCACTTTTTTTTTTTTTTTTTAAACACCAAAAAGTGAAAACGTTAAATTTTACGAACAATAAACTCCGTGTTATTATGGAAAAATTGACTAGTGGCAATATATATTTTCTATTTCCATTCCGCTATCATTACTTGCTAGAAGCGACAAGGTGTGTATATCTCACTCGGTCCAGCACAGTATTCAATTGTTATGACGTCACAGTTTGGTGTGCTGAAGCATTCCCTGAAACAGCCAATGGGAACCCCGTCGGACATTGGCATGTTACATGACGGGTGAGTGTTTTCTGAATATTATTTTGCTGATAAAATTTTCAGGGTAAAGACAGCGTACACCAGCTCGCAGTCACACAAACGACTCAATTTACCACTTTTAGTGTGAAAATGCCCCTTCTTGGGTTAGATACGTACAGTCTGTATTACCTTTGTTAGGCGGTGTGTCGAGATAGTATTGAGCACGTTCGGGTGGCGGTCAGGACGGAGCTGGGTTGTGCGAGCGTTGCTGCTGTCGTGTGACATCCATCGGTCGGGTAAGGGAAGGACCACCGTTGATACCAACTTCGAGCGCTTGGGGGGAATTAAAACGGATATTTCGCGTTCGATTGTAGACATCACAGGCCAAATATTACGTCATCATCTCTTACGTCTCTATAGGAGGTGTTCCTAAAGACGTAAATGGCGGAAGGTACAAGTTACAGTCAAACTTCTCGTGTTTAATACACGTACTCGTAATAAATCATATCCCATGTGATTACTAATGTTTCGAGTTAGGATTAAATATCCATCAAATGACGAAATCTTCTTCCTTTATCGATATAGGACAAATCTTCAAAGATGGCGGTTGCTTACTTCGTCATCGTTTATTACACTTTTACACTTAACAAATGCAGATTTTACTACATTTTTTATCATTCTATACATAAGAAATTTTAACCTCTTTACTATCAAATCTTTATTCTTACATATTTAAAAATCGCGAAAACAATAGACCGACCGTCTTCCTGACGGTTTAGTAATCAAAATGGCGGAATGACTGGCTGGTCGTCGTTTTCTATTGTAGTTTGAGAGTTTTTCGTGATGCGCCGCGAGGCTAGACGTGCCTGGTCTTCTTCCTATCTACCGTTTTCCTCAAGCTTACATGTCAACGTTCTTACCTAAATGTATTCGAATTATCACATATTCATCTATCAAACAGGTAATTTTTTAACGTCATCCTACATATGTAATTCAATTGCCATATACAACACAAGTTAATACAAACTTCTATACCATATTAGGTCAAAAAAATCTTTGGCTTAAATGTTCAACATATTTATCACACTATTGAAATTTTTCATGCATCATAAATATGATATTTAATTGGTTTTGGATTTTAAAAAAGGTCTTGTGTAAAATTTAAAAAAATCACTTCTTATAATGGATACAAACTTCCAGTTAAAAAGAAATTCTTCTCCTCAAAGTGTATAAAAACTCTTCAGTTCATGTAAATAAGTATTTGATCAGATTTCTTGATTCTTCCTGATATATTACTGGTTATGTAATGGAAATAAGGAAAAATGTTGGTAAAATGTACTGTAAAACTGCTTGTATATATAAATAAAATTTGTTAAAGCAGATATTATCAGTTTTAAAAGGGGAAACCTTAGTAAGTTTTTATTTATTATGAAGAAGATTAAATTTCAATAACCTAATTAATGAAATCCTATATATGTTTCATTCTATACAAATTCAAAAATGATTTAACTTCTTTGAAATTAAAAATATATTCTAAATTCTAAAAACAGAACAGTAGTAGTATTTGTTGTTCTAGTTTATAAATAAATAAATAAATAAAATACTTTAAAAAGTATTTTTAGGAGTATTTGTTTAAAAGAAAAAAAAAACAACTTAGAAAATGTGATAGATATTAAAACATGACCCTGAACTATGTTTGAATTTAAAAAAAAAAGAAATGATAAAAACAAAAATTGCATATACAGTAATTATGAGTAGCAAGTAAAAGCATGTAGTGAAAAATTTAAAATACTTAACTTTTAAAAAACAAATTGCTATCAAACTACAAATGCAAAGTACTGTGTATCCATCTGTATTAATAGCAACAGACTATACTATACTAATTCTTTATAACACTAAACCCAATAGAAGAAAGCTTTTGATTTCATTGAATACAACCTAAGTCACTAGCTTAAACAGACAGGTCCGACCAATAGCATTTAGAGACACACCCCCAAATAACCTTATTGGATAACTTTATAATTAGATTACTTCCTATTGGATGCTGTTCAACTGCAGAAAGAACAATATCCAACAGTCCATCCTACATTCTCTTGATAGTTAGCTATCATTTAAAAATTTGCATTTGAATTTCCTTCATCACGTTACTTGGGTTTTATGAAGCATAAATTTTTACTATTGTTTTAATAATTCCTCCCCCTTCTCTTTTTTTTTTCTCCCCTCTTTCAATTTAGAAAATGTTCAATCTATAATGAAATATTGTATTGAAATATTATGGTAATTGTGTTTATTTTACATAAATGCATAAATCTTCTTTTCGAGTTTTTTTTTTTTTTTTGTTGTCTTAAAGTATACATTATTTATAATAATCGAATTTTATGAAATTATAATATCGACGTATGACGTGAAAAAAGGATGATTATCATTTATTATCTTCTAGAACATCAATAAAATTTTATTATTTAGAAGTTTAGTAATTTGATATTTCACATACAAGTAATTCATTTTACATCAAAACAAATAATCGTATTATTTACTATTAAACAGAAAAGTCGTTAATTTGTATTTTACTTTCTTTAAAATACGCTATTTAATTTTAAATAATGAAAATCGGTAACGTATTTTTAAATTATTTAAAATTCTCTCGACAATTTATATTATAAATCAAATAGAAGCATTCTAAATGTTAATAAATTGTTATAATCATTGCTAATTTTTTATTTTAGAAAGTTTTTCTTACTGATAAATAATAAACGTCGATTAATTATGAAATTACTTTAAACGTTAATAGAAATTGTTTTCAAGATACTGTTTTACGTAGTTAATATTAATGTTTTAAATAATAATAAAAATGCTTTCTTGTTTTTGAATAAATGCAATGAGATTGTTTAATATTTATTTGTATTTAAAAATTCTGAATTTGTCTTTATATTCATATTTAAAATTGTAAATAAATCACGTAATACAGTAGAGCCTCGAAAACTCGGCACTCGATAACCCGGCACTCAGGATAACTCGGCCACACCCTGGCAGGGCAAAAAAATTCTTAGTTAATTAATTTTCATTATAGACAGCTTTATAAAAGTATAAAAGCTCTCGTAAAGTATTTTTCTGAGGTCTGTCTTATTAGGTAAATTACTGTACACAGTGTATTCATTAATTTTCATTTTCATGTAGTAAAGGCTCTATGCCTTCATAAAGGACGTACTTTTCCTTTGTTTAAGGGTATTTGGGCAGTTTATTCTCTGTTGTATTGTCAATCAAACAATACATACAAGTACAGTACAGTATTTTCTGAGGAAACACTCATACTTATTTTTTAAACCCCATTCCCGATAACCCGGCATTTTCACAAACTCGGCCACCCTTCGGTCCACATTAGGCTGAGTTTTCGAGGCTCTACTGTATAAAAGAAATAAAATACATAAGTCGTGTAAGTTAAAATTGCAGGAGTAATATGATTGTTGAAATTTTAATTAATAATAATAATGTGATATCTTTAACAAATACTAAAGGAAAAGCAAATTATTTCTGAACCTGTATTATTTTTAAATTACTATAATTATTGTATTTTTCCTTAATAATTATTGCGAATATTTTAAAAGAGTATAAATACGCACATTACTCTAACAATAATAATGCTTTGTAAGTGGCCATTTTTAAATGAAATAATATCGAGTATAAATATTGGCAATAAAATCACTAGTAAGGTGTTATTTAATAACAACTAAAGGTTTATTTATTGAATCTATTAAATGACAATATAACTCTTTTTTGTTTTTCTTTCTTGTAAAATTATTTCAGATATATTAGATTACATGTAAATTATAATAATAGGTATTTGGAATTATAAAACTTTGTGTTTAAATTAAAATTTGATGCAATTTCTCCTTCTCTTGGAAGGTTCTGAAGTCATTCTTTTATTTGTTTAGATATAACTATTCTTTAAGATTTTCCTAATATATATTGAGTTTTAGATTAAATATTCATCAGTGTGGAAGATTAAACTTAACACAGAAAGATAAAACAGACAAAAGACAAAACAAATTGCAAATTTTTTTATGTCAAATCAGCAGAAAAGTGGCAGATGATCAGATGTTCTCTAATAGAAGACCATTTCTGAATTAAAACGTAAATGAAACGTCAAGCATACTTCGAATGCATCATTTAATTATTAATTGTATGGAAGAACTAAATAATTTATTGTAAAAAAAAAAGCTGTGGTCCATTTTTTGAAATTTATCTATAATATTGTTTTGTCTTTATAAAAATATAAAACAATATTTTAAACATTATAAGACATGAATATTTTTTAATTTGTTCAGTCTTTCTTGTAATAATTACTTCAATATAAACATTGATGAATTTGAAGTTTTTTGGTTTATAATCAGATCCTCGCAAACATATGCATCAATATTAAATAATTTTCAGGATGTATTAAAATTTCTTTAATATATTTCAAAGATTTAAAGTGTGACAGTTTTTAATAAAACAGCTTTGATAAATCTGTGGAGATATCTCTCATATTTTTAAATAATATCAGAGGATTTGTATTGTTTTTTTTGTTTTTTTTTAAACCTGTTCTTGTTTTCATTTCTATGAACATTTTTTTAGTCATAGATCAAATTACTTTTTGAAAAAAATAGATTCCACTGTTAGTCATCCAAAGTTATTAATGATTATTTTTTTAATACAAAAAATCCTATACTCCTACTATAAATGACTTCTATTATTGTTACGTATCTCTTAACTTGTATATTTTGCAAAATTCCTTTCTCATTTTGAAGTTTTGATATATTATTTTCATTTTTATATTCAAAATTTTCATTATTTTATTTTTTGCTAAATATAACATCTTGAATATTAAAGACTGCAATTAAGAATTTATTAATTTTGTTTTATTAAGTTATGGCAATGCAACACTTGGGCGATCTGCCTAGGGGGAATACCTTCCGGTAGGTTTTTTTAAGGGTAACTGGCCGCTATTCGGGTGTTACAGACGTGGAGAAAACATGGAAAACTCCACGTGGCCAGTTTGTCATGGCGAGGTGCGAACCCATGACCAAGCTCCCAGTCTTCAGGGAACGGAACCACTTGGCCACTGGTGGGCCAAATTTATTAATACATTATTATAACATATTTTATCAGACTCTTGGTATTTGAATAAATTATTTACAATACTTCCACTCAAAAACAGTGTATACTTGAATTAAAACCACTAAAAAATGTAATAACCAGCAGAGAAGAAGTAGGGGTGTCCCTATGGGCAGCCCCTATAAGGCACCTTGCGTGAACT